CTTTTTTTTTTTTTTTTTTTTCTTTGACATTTTTGAGCTTATATTTACCTGTTTTTGCCGAAACAGTAAAATGTATCATTCTGTTTTACTTTTAATTTATCCTGGAGTTTCGCTATTAGTGGACTGTGCAGCTTACACTTTTCTACTGGTCGTTTTTCTAATTTTGCTGGCACGCTGATGCGTGGCTCGAAGTAATATAGAGATTTTTTTTCAAAATGATTTTTTTGTCATTTTCGAAGAGCAGCAAGTCGAATGATTTGTTGGGGTTTTGAATTCTCGAGCAGTTTAACAATTCTTCAAGGACCCTAGTAGTTGAACTGTTGACTTATATAATTGTGGCTTTGTGTAACAAAATCTTCATGATTTGGGAATGGAATAGGTATTGTAACACTAATTGCGGTTTTGCAGCGCTGTTCTGAAATTCTTAGGCGGTAATGGGCTGATAAATATAAGGATTTTACTCCAGTTGTCTGGTAAAAACAGTTATTGCTATGTTGCTGTTTGGAAAACAGTCATGATGGATGAAAAAAAGAAGTGATGCTGAAATTGTTGCTCACTGTTCTCACTCAGTCTAATGCTATTCCCAATAAAGACCAAGAAAAGCTCAGAGGATTTCTAAAATGAATAAGTCGTGCCGTGCCTTATTTTTTTTTATCCTGAATATGCTGGGGTGATTTGTTGACATGAATTTAAGTGAGGTAAGGAAGCGACTGCTCAGGAAAAAGCACGAGATTTTCTTAGAAATGCATTTGTTTTTGGTCTTAAGAATAAGCCTAGCAGTAGAGCTTTAATATTTATGTGCACTCCGATAGTAATTTGTTGCATACTGCCGTAAATGGATCATAATTTGCTGCGCGTCTCTTGCAGTGGTTTTGGTAAACTAAGCACATGGGCGGAAATGAAAAAGCTGTTGGAATTCAAATATAGTCAGAGATGGTATTTTTCCTGTCAGCAGTATGTGAAAACAATTAAGTTTCGACTGTCTGAGCTATACATTTTGCATTTCAAATTGTGTTGTTCAATTATTTTTTATTATAGTTAGTGCAATCTCCTGAAAACTCGTTGGTGTATAAAACACTTAAACTGAAATGTGAGTGAGTCGTCATTAGGATTGCTGGTTTGAGATAATAGTCTTGAGTAAAGTCCGACGTGCAGAGCGGTCTGTAAAACGCTGCTGTCATCTGATATTTTGCTTCAAGATTCTTTTAGACAAAAAAAAAAAAAAAACTCAGTTTGGTTAGTATAGTTGGTAGTAAGAGGATTTGTTATAACC